AAATGACTGTTAAAATTTGTCCACTATAAAAGTTAAGGGCACTTAGGGCTGGACATTCAAATCATCTTTCTTTAGCCAGGGATTTACGAGTTGGTAAATGGATTTACTCAAGGATTTACATATAATGCAATTGCAAACATGTCGATTAGACTCAGTTTTTGTTTGATAACAACTACTACTAGTAGTACTTGGCAATTTGTAAAGAATTAAAACCTTAGTATTTTATATAAATCAACATCTATTGGATTTTGTTGGGAAATAGCTAAATGAACTTTTAATTACAGTTAATATGATAAACTTATATATTTTATCTGCGTCTATAAAACTTCGCTGCGTCTATAAAACTTCAATTCGCCCCATGTGAGGTAACCCAGGAGGTATTTGGATTCCGGATCCTCCTTGGATTCCGGATTCCACATCTTGGATTCCGGATTCCGAAAGCCGTAGCTAGCATGTATAGTTGGGGGAGAGGGGGGGGGGGGGGGGGTGTAGGCCAAAAATTTCCGAAGTGACGAAAACATTTTCCGAATATTTCATGGCATGCGAAGCCACGAATGTGTTTGCTATCCGGAAAATGAAGACGCTATTTACAAACAATTTACAAACAATGCCGTTTCGATTGGAAGGCAGAGAACGAGGGCCGAAGGCCCAAGGAAATTTTTAAAATTAGAGTCTCTGAAATGCCATTTCCTGGACTTTGGGGAAGTTTTGACAGAATTCTGATGGTCAGAAAATAGTGTTTTAGTTTGTCGAAATTTACAATTTGCTTACAATTTAATAGTACTAAATGGGCAAAGGCGTATTTAATTAACTATACATATTGGAGAAATTGCAGGAAAGAGTATGGATAATATGATTCTTTGCAGTCTGTCATGGATAATGTAGCCGTTTAAAATTAATCAATTGTCAGTATTTTAAAGGTTAAATGATAAAGGTCTGCATGATTTTGAAAAAAAGAATGATTATTAGCAAATTATTGGGAGGGCTGCACCACACAGCTCCCCCCGGTTGGTACTTCCCTCAGTGAGAAGTAATAAAACGAAAAATATTTACCGATTTACCATTGGTTAAATGTTATCAATGTATATGCTATGATTTCGTAAATCAGTTTATACTAGTCTGATATGTACTACAATTATATTATATTTTCTCTGTTTAACACCTAAAATTTTGTTATACTATTATTGACCTAATTTTCCGAATGGTTAACCCGATTTTACGAATATGTTAATTCTAAAAAATTTTGGGGGAGGGGGTAAACCATCTCCCCCTTCCCAACACCCCCCTCGCTACGACCCTGTCCAATCTATTATTTTGTGTATTGCAAAGCCAATATCAGTTCCCAGTGCATCTGAGTTCACAGTACTAAATAGCATTTATTTTCAAGGAAATTGTTAAAATGTTCACAAGTAACTAATTAATAATAAATTTTATATAGCAGACATAACTTATATAGGTGTAACGTTTCAAAACGGAGAGGCACACTATATTTTTGTATCAAACACAGGCTTGACAGGCTCGATTTGATGTAAACGACTTTCAGAGTTTTAATAATTCATGCCAAATTAAAAAAAAGCATTTTATTCTAATGTAAATGTATAAACGGGTCAGTGTCTGGTTGGCTGGGTACCGAGTATATATAAATAAAATAAAACAAGATTGACAAGAAAATAATACACACATTTTCTCATTTGATTCCTTACTGTGTTTGAAATGTTTCCCCATGACCAAGTCCGAGAATTCGCTTCGTAATCGACTCAAAAGCTTAAGATGCACCAGGATGCACGAGCTTAAGATGCACCAAATCTACAGCCCTGGGCAAACTAGGGAACATTGTTTCCTGCCAATGTTTCGCCATGTTTCCCAAGGTGGACAAACACTAAGAAAGAATATTTCCGAAACAAAAATTACACTTGGGAAACATGAAATGTTTCTGAATTTGATAGGAAACATTTCTGCTTCTCGGGAAGCAAATTGTGTTTCTGCAACGATGTTTCCACGGGTAGCTAAACACAAAAACACTTGAGGAAACATGGCGAGTCACAATGTTTCCGCAACAATGTTTCCTAGATTGGCCAAGGCTTACGACGCGGACGTGACATAAAAACCGTTACTAATGTTTGGAATCCAGTTTTATTATATGCAGCTTAATTCACTTGTGTCTCTGACTTTGTTTACCAATTCACTTGTGTCTCTGACTTTAATTTTTATCCGTGTACGTAGTGAAACAGTGGGAAATAGTTACAGTTTTTGTCCACGACCGCGTCGTAGATTTAGTGCATCTTAAGCTCGCTATTGTCTATAAACAGCACCAAGAGAATGTGTATATAGGAATGTGTATACACCCGCTAGTAATTTACAGTTGGCGCGATATCCCTCAAAGATTTTGCCGACTTCAACCAATGTAAATGTAAATCGGAATCCAAGCGGGCGCAAACAGTTTCTCAAATTTCATGTATTTGGACTATTTGGTCATGAAACTTGAAAGAGCCTGAACATATTTCCCGAAGTTAAATAAAAGAGGAGATGATATTTGTGGTGTTACTCTGAGTGTTTATCCACATCGGGCGAGCTTGAAAAATATGCCCGGCCACGGTGGGATTCGAACCTACGACCTTTGGAATACTAGCCCAATGCTCTTCCAACTGAGCTACGCGGTCAGGACGGTTCGAGTAAGTGATATTTCGGAACAGAATCTAGTTCCTTCGATACCAATGTATTCTAGTAATATGAATTTTTTTTCTGTGTTGGTGTAGTGTACTCAGGTGAATATGATATTTGTGGTGTTACTCTGAGTGTATATCCACACCGGGCGAGCTTGAAAAATATGCCCGGCCACGGTGGGATTCGAACCTACGACCTTTGGAATACTAGCCCAATGCTCTTCCAACTGAGCTACGCGGTCAGGACGGTTCACGTAAGTGATATTTCGGAACAGAATCTAGTTCCTTCGATACCAATGTATTCTAGTAATATGAATTTTTTTTCTGTGTTGGTGTAGTGTACTCAGGTGAATATGATATTTGTGGTGTTACTCTGAGTGTATATCCACACCGGGCGAGCTTGAAATATATGCCCGGCCACGGTGGGATTCGAACCTACGACCTTTGGAATACTAGCCCAATGCTCTTCCAATTGAGCTACGCGGTCAGGACGGTTCGAGTAAGTGATATTTCGGAACAGTATCTAGTTCCTTCAATACCAATGTGTTCTTGTAATATGAATTTTTTTTTTTTTCTGTGCTGGTGTTGTGTACTCAGGTGAATAATATGTTTGTGATGTTACTCTGAGTGCATATCCACACCGGGCGAGCTTGAAAAATATGCCCGGCCACGGTGGGATTCGAACCTACGACCTTTGGAATACTAGCCCAATGCTCTTCCAACTGAGCTACGCGGTCAGGACGGTTCGAGTAAGTGATATTTCGGAACAGAATCTAGTTCCTTCGATACCAATGTATTCTATTAATATGAATTTTTTTTTTTTTTTTTTCTGTGTTGGTGTAGTGTACTCAGGTGAATATGATATTTGTGGTGTTACTCTGAGTGTATATCCACACCGGGCGAGCTTGAAAAATATGCCCGGCTACGGTGGGATTCGAACCTACGACCTTTGGAATACTAGCCCAATGCTCTTCCAACTGAGCTACGCGGTCAGGACGGTTCGAGTAAGTGATATTTCGGAACAGAATCTAGTTCCTTCGATACCAATGTATTCTAGTAATATGAATTTTTTTTCTGTGTTGGTGTAGTGTACTCAGGTGAATATGATATTTGTGGTGTTACTCTGAGTGTACATCCACACCGGGCGAGATTGGAAAATATGCCCGGCCACGGTGGGATTCGAATCTACGACCTTTGGAATACTAGCCCAATGCTCTTCCAACTGAGCTACGCGGTCAGGACGGTTCGAGTAAGTGATATTTCGGAACAGTATCTAGTTCCTTCAATACCAATGTGTTCTAGTAATATGAATTTTTTTTTTCTGTGTTGGTGTTGTGTACTCAGGTGAATAATATGTTTGCGATGTTACTCTGAGTGCATATCCACACCGGGCGAGCTTGAAAAATATGCCCGGTCACGGTGGGATTCGAACCTACGACCTTTGAAATACTAGCCCAATGCTCTTCCAGCTGAGCTACGCGGTCAGGACCGTTCGAGTAAGTGATATTTCGGAACAGTATCTAGTTCCTTCAATACCAATGTGTTCTAGTAATGAATTTTTCTGTGTTGGTGTTGTGTACTCAGGTGAATAATATGTATGCGATGTTATTCTGAGCGCATATCCACACCGGGCAAGCTTGAAAAATATGCCCGGCCACAGTGGGATTCGAACCTACGACCTT